GCCGCACCCCAATTATCAGGAAAATGCCAGAGATGACTCTGGCCCAGTGGGAGTACGATTTGTGGAGAAAGTGGATCCATGCCTTTTGGCGATCCGTTTGTGGTATCAGGCTGGGTGAAGAAGGATTTGGGTTCTGTCAATTCAGGCAATGTATCCAGAAGTGGACTTGTGTTTATTACATTTTTTGTGTGTATGCGGCCCAGAGGGAGAAGGCGCTACGTGACTCGGGGCAAGAGCTGTGTTCTGCTTTGCTCTCCAGAGCAGAGCGCTGCTGAAAGGAGTGATAACTGGGGTGGCGTTGAGGTGGATTGACTGAAGTTGAGGATTCCTGTGTCTGATGCATGCCGTTTGGTTCGATGCAGACCTGGTGGGTAGCGTGAGACTGACCCAGTCTGTCTTTCTGAGTTTTGATGCAGAGTGTTTGACCTGATAAGTTCATGCTAGGGTATATGTTATCCTGTGAGAGCTTTTGTTCTGAACCCACTATGGTGTTTATGGTTATGTTGCAGCAATATGTAAGAGGGAGATTCTGAGGTGTGGAGGGCATGGGACAAAGGAGTGTATTGTTTCGGTGGGAAAAGTGACTCAATTGGCCATGTTGCTGGGGACCAGAAATGTCCTGTGCGAGTGAGACAGGTTGAAGTTTCTAGGCTGAAGGCAGTGCAAAAAATGTTTATGTTGAGGCAGTGAAGAAAGTAGAGGATGGTGGGTGAATGAGTGAACAAGTAGTGAACAAATTTGCAATGCACGTCCAGAACTGTGAAAGGAAGCAAAACGCAAGTGTCTAGTCTGCCGGAAAAACACACGAAGAAGAGAAACTAGCGCTACCGCCTCAAACGTCACTGGGACCATGTCATACCCAGCCGCCAATGACCTTGCAGCCAGAGGGGGACCAAACGTGAGTGTGGTCGACTACGTCTGTTCAGAATGGCTCCCTTCTCATGCATGTTCTCCTCTCCCCTTGCACTGGACCAGGCCATGGGCTGGGTGCCACAGACGCTTGATGACAACGGACGACGAGGAGCGACTGACAAACGACTACCAACAGTGACACTAACCAATCAACGGCAGACGAGCAACCGACGGGAGTTGGCTGCGGCCATCTTGGACACTCCTCCAGCAGCACAGACCTTATCTCTGGGAAAGCGTTTGATTTTGGTTTGTGATTGTGTACTCCTGAGATTAAGTAAAAAACGCTAAACTTTTAAACCTTGTCTGTGTGGTGGCCTGGGATCCTTAGAAACCGGTTTTGGACATGTACTTTACATTCCACTCTTGACACTACTATTGATGCTTCTTGCAGAGATGATATTCTAATTGACTCAAAGTAGTATTTGAGTTGTTTATGGTACAATGGAGTTCTGCTGGAGGTCGGGCTCTTGACTGTAGAAAATTAATTTGCTACTCTGCGCAACCTTCAGACAGGAGGAAGGTAATGGAAAGATTCATAATTAATGTAGTTATTGTGGCAACTTGTGAATTGTGTTAGCCTATGGCAATTTATATCAAATAGGATTTAAATGAAGACACAAATAGCCAGAAGTCAGGTGGTGGCATACGTTGTATTACATCAAATATTGTGAACACTTCCAACGTAGTCAAAGTACAAAACAAGAAGTGTTGAACAAATTGGAATCTACACTACTTATATACGTCAAGCATTCAAATACATAGCAGCGTAATGGTTCACTCTTCATTCATCCAATAAACACTTTGGCTTTAAAGCAGATACATTGTAATAAATAGTTTTTAAAATAGTCTGTCTCCATTCGTAAACATTAGCCCTGGCCTAGCCTGAGACATGGCAACAGTAAATAATTATAGTGAGTCATCAAGTCACAGACGGGGCCTGCACATAAGGCACATACGGTAAAAAGGCATGGTGAGACAAAATACAGGTGAAATGCAAAAAATTCAATCAAGTGTACTAATGCTGCTTAGATTGGAGCCCAGTGCTGCTATTTGCAGTGCTTGTGGTGATACTAGTATAAAGTGAGGTTATCAACACAAAATAAATCATATGCATATGAAATACAATGGTAGTGCTTTAATTTATGATATACAGTGGGGTCTGAAATTGACACCCTTGATAAAGATGAGCAAAAATAATTGTTTAAAATAATTCAAATACTGAGCTACTGTATATTGTATGTTTTAAAAAAAATTGGAAATTATATTTTATAATACAATTGTTCAGAGAAAGATTGTTTAACAAGTGATAATTTTTACCCCTACTGTTTGAGAAAAAAAAGTGACACCCCTGTTTTCAATACCTCACCTTGCGAGGACAACGGCACGCCCCAGGACCAGTGGAAGCAAAATAGCCCCATAACATCAAAGATCCACCACCATATCTGACAGTAGGTATAGGGTTATTTTCTGCTCATGGATTCTCATAGATGCCAAACACACCACTGGTGTGCGTGGCGAAAGAGCTCTATTTTCACGTCATCGAAATGTAAACGGCACTTGGATTGGAACCAGTGCTTTGGTCAGATGACTTGAAAATAGAGTGGTGGGTTTGTCATCGAAATGAGAATGCATGAGCAGAGATCTCCCGAGTGGCACAGTGGTCTAAGGCACTGCATCGCAGTGCTAGCTGTGCCACTAGAGATCCTGGTTTGAATCCAGGCTCTGTCGTAGCCGGCCGCGACCGGGAGACCCATGGGGTGGCGTTGTCCAGGGTAGGGGAGGGAATGGCCGGCAGGGATGTACAGTGGGGAAAAGAAAGTATTTAGTCAGCCACCAATTGTGCAAGTTCTCCCACTTAAAAAGATGAGAGAGGCCTGTAATTTTCATCATAGGTACACGTCAACTATGACAGACAAATTGAGAATGTTTTTCTCCAGAAAATCACATTGTAGGATTTTTAATGAATTTATTTGCAAATTATGGTGGAAAATAAGTATTTGGTCACCTACAAACAAGCAAGATTTCTGGCTCTCACAGACCTGTAACTTCTTATTTAAGAGGCTCCTCTGTCCTCCACTCGTTACCTGTATTAATGGCACCTGTTTGAACTTGTTATCAGTATAAAAGACACCTGTCCACAACCTCAAACAGTCGCACTCCAAACTCCACTATGGCCAAGACCAAAGAGCTGTCAAAGGACACCAGAAACAAAATTGTAGACCTGCACCAGGCTGGGAAGACTGCATCTGCAATAGGTAAGCAGCTTGGTTTGAAGAAATCAACTGTGGGAGCAATTATTAGGAAATGGAAGACATACAAGACCACTGATAATCTCCCTCGATCTGGGGCTCCACGCAAGATCTCATCCCGTGGGGTCAAAATGATCACAAGAACGGTGAGCAAAAATCCCAGAACCACACGGGGGGACCTAGTGAATGACCTGCAGAGAGCTGGGACCAAAGTAACAAAGCCTACCATCAGTAACACACTACGCCGCCAGGGACTCAAATCCTGCAGTGCCAGACGTGTCCCCCTGCTTAAGCCAGTACATGTCCAGGCCCGTCTGAAGTTAGCTAGAGTGCATTTGGATGATCCAGAAGAGGATTGGGAGAATGTCAGATGAAACCAAAATATAACTTTTTGGTAAAAACTCAACTCGTCGTGTTTGGAGGACAAAGAATGCTGAGTTGCATGCAGAGAACACCATACCTACTGTGAAGCATGGGGGTGGAAACATCATGCTTTGGGGCTGTTTTTCTGCAAAGGGACCAGGGCGACTGATCCGTGTAAAGGAAAGAATGAATGGGGCCATGAATCGTGAGATTTTGAGTGAAAACCTCCTTCCATCAGCAAGGGCATTGAAGATGAAACGTGGCTGGGTCTTTCAGCATGACAAGGTCCTGGAGTGGCCTAGCCAGTCTCCAGATCTCAACCCCATAGAAAATCTTTGGAGGGAGTTGAAAGTCCGTGTTGCCCAGCGACAGCCCCAAAACATCACTGCTCTAGAGGAGATCTGCATGGAGGAATGGGCCAAAATACCAGCAACAGTGTGTGAAAACCTTGTGAAGACTTACAGAAAACGTTTGACCTGTGTCATTGCCAACAAAGGGTATATAACAAAGTATTGAGAAACTTTTGTTATTGACCAAATACTTATTTTCCACCATAATTTGCAAATAAATTCATTAAAAATCCTACAATGTGATTTTTTCCTCCTTTTGTCTGTCATAGTTGATGTGTACCTATGAAGAAAATTACAGGCCTCTCTCATCTTTTTAAGTGGGAGAAGTTGCACAATTGGTGGCTGACTAAATACTTTTTTTCCCCACTGTAGCTCAGTTGGTAGAGCATGGCGTTTGCAACGCCGGGGTTGTGGGTTTGATTCCCACGGGGGGCCAGTATGAAAAATTAAAAAATAATGTATGCACTCACTGGCTGTAAATCGCTCTGGATAAGAGCGTCTGCTAAATGACTAAAATGTAAATGTAAAATGCAGAAAATAACCCCTTACCTACTGTCAAATATGGTGGTGGATCTTTGATGTTATAGGGCTATTTGGCTTACATGGTTAAATTGTCATTATAATAACTTATGAATTACTTGTTTCTTTCATAAGGAACTATATATTGTAATTACTGATTTGGGTTGAACTATTCTAGGTATGATACCACAATTATATTGTAAATACCAACAAAAACAAAATATATTTTCCTTCTACTTCTGGAATGTACATTATTTATTTTAGTTAACTTCTTCTCCTTCTATTTATAATGCATTCACATAATTGTGCTATTGTTAGAATGCAAGAAGAATTGAAACCAATGTACATTATTTGACATGCTGCTAAAGAACATCAGGGGTACAGAACAATTCCAGGATAGGTCCTGCAACTTTTATGTATAATGTATTAAATACCCAAAATATCTGTTGACATACACTAAACAGAACTAGATCATTGTATGTTTTGCTCTGTTCCTCTGACTAGCATTTAAAGTGCATTGGGTGTACTGTATCGACTTGTCAGTCCCACAGCCAAGAACAAAAGGATTGGAGAGATATCTTGTTGTGCCCAGTTCAGACTGTTCATCTCAGTTTCTTGAAATGCTGGCCTCAAAAAGGTCAAAGATCACAATGGCCGTGTTGTTGTTGCTGCTTTGAAGGGATTCCTTCAGTCTGAGGGAGTCCTTGTCTGTTGTTCTTGCTGCGTTCCCCTCAGCACTGACCCTTAGCGGTCTCTCGTGTCCATAATGTACTTTCTTTTGATGATGCACACTGAGGATTTGCCTCTCTTCATCATGACTTGACTCAAGTTTCCAGTGGTTCATTATTCTCCTCCGAAAAACAGCCTGAAATTGCACCTCCTACAAATGACAAAGTAATTACAGGTTGTTTTACGTTCAAGATTGAGGGAGCTAGTGGTTTCAAATAGTAGCCACACCCTGTGGATATGTTGTCCCCTCTAGTATCTGTGTGCATGTGTTAAACTTTATGGATGTGCTAGATGGATGGTTGGATGTGTTCAACTTTTCAAACACCAATTCCAAGGCCTTCCAAGGAAGAGCTTTAGAATGAGGTTGACTTTTAACATTTCTATGGGGCTGATACCCAAGTGTGGTCTCTTACCATAACTTGCTGAGGCGTGAGGGGAGCGTGTCGTCGGCTCCGCTTTGGCTTTGCGCAGTAGCTCTCCAAATGCTTCAGGTCGCAGGCCTTTAAGCAACACTGCTCCACAATTCCCTTCCCTCGGACCCGAGTCCCACTCCCTCTGAGGCGAGTACCATTCCCTCGGGTGGAACGAAGTCCGTTCGGTGCTGTAACAAGAAAAAAGGTATTTGGATCAGATCGTGAAACACTGCGCTGTCTTGAAGAGCAGGTGGTGGGCTATACTACTTAAGTCTTTTTTGGGGGTATCTATACTTGATATATTTTTTTAGAACTTTAACTCCATTACATTCCTAAAGAAAAGGTACTTTTTACTCCATACATTTTCCCTGACACCCAAAGGTACTCGTTACATTTTGAATACTTAGCAGGACAGGAAAATTGTCAAATTCACACACTTATCAAGAGAACATCCCTGGTCATCCCTACTGCCTCTGATCTGGCGGACTCACTAAACACAAATTGTCACGCCCTGACTCAGGGGACGTTTATTTGTTGAGTCAGGGTGTGTTTATTTCCGTGTTAGGTTAAGTTTTCTATGTTAGTGTCTAGATCATGTAGATCTATGTTGGCCAGGGTGGTTCCCAATCAGAGGCAGCTGTAGCTCGTTGTCTCTGATTGGGGCCAATACTTTGCCGTTTGGCACCAGTCTGTGTGGGATCTTGTTCCGTATAGGTATGTTATTAGTCTACCTTGGACTTCACGTATTGTTTGTTTGTTGTTTTGTTCGTGTTCAGTACGTTAATAAATATGTACGCTTATCACGCTGCGCCTTGGTCCGTCTCATCCGTAAACGATCGTGACAGAAGATCCCACCAAATGAGGACCAAGCAGCGTGCCCAGGAAGAGAGAATAGCGATGTCTCAGGTGGGCAAATGGTGGTCATGGGAGGAGATATTCGCGGGGAAAGGGCCATGGGCGAAGGTAAATGCCCAGGCAGGAGAGGAGAAACGGCGCCAACCGGGCCGACGACGGACACCCGAGAGGCAACCCCAAGAAAATGTTTGGGGGGGGGCACACGGCGTGGACGACGAGGCAGCAGGAGGCAGCGACAGGGCGAATCTGCAGACTAGGAGAGGAGGCCACCAGGTTACGGGAGCTATTGGTCCAGAGGGAGCAGGAGTTAATTGGTCAGAGGGAGGAGCTACAGGAGGCGATAAGGGAGAAGGAGAGTGTAGAGGCACGGCGAGAGGAGCTGGTTAGGCAGCAGAAGGAACGGAGGTTTATAAGGGAACCCAGTCCCGCTCCTCGCACCAAGCAAGTGGTGTGTGTCGCCAGTCCGGTCCGGCCCGTTCCTGATCCCCGCACTAAGCCAGTGGTGCGTGTTCCCAGTACGGCCCGACCCATTCCTGCTTCCCGTACAAGGCCAGTGGTGTGTGTTCCCAGTACGGTCCGGCCCGTTCCTGCTCCCCGCACTAAGCTAGTGGTGCGTGTTCCCAGTACGGCCCGACCCGTTCCTGCTCCTCGCACTAAGCCAGTGGTGTGTGTCCACAGTCCGGTACGGCCCGTTCCTGCTCCCCGCACCAAGCCAGTGGTGCGTGTTCCCAGTCCGGCCCGGCCCGTTCCTGCTCCCCGCACCAAGCCAGTGGTGCGTATTCCCAGTCCAGCCCGGCCTGTTCCTGTCCCTCGCACCAAGCCAGTGGTGCGCATCGCCAGCCCGGTCCGGCCTGTTCCTGCACCTCGCGCCAAGCCAGTGGTGCGCGTCGCCAGCCCGGTCCGGCCTGTTCCTGCCCCTCGCACCAAGCCAGTGGTGCGCGTCGCCAGCCCGGTCCGGCCCGTTCCTGCTCCCCGCACCAAGCCAGTGGTGCGCGTCGTCAGCCCGGTCCGGCCCTTTCCTGCTCCCCGCACCAAGCCAGTGGTGCGTGTGTCCAGTCCGGCACGGCCCGTGCCTGTTCCACCGGTGCCTGGTCCGGCACCGGTCAGCTGCTCCACTCCGGAGCCTGAGCAATCCGCTCCACCAGGGTCCGGTCCAACTCCAGTCAGCGGATCCACTCCGGAGCCAGAGCAATCCGCTCCACCGGTGCCCAGTCCAGCTCCGGCCAGCGGCTCCAGTCCGGAGCCTGTACAGTTCGATCCACCGTCGTCGGGTCCATGCGTTTTTTCTGGATTTTTTAGTTGTTATTCTGTCTCTCACTGTTCAAATAAACCTACCATTAAAATTATAGACTGATCATTTCTTTGTCAGTGGGCAAACGTACAAAATCAGCAGGGGATCAAATACTTTTTTCCCCTCACTGTACATTTATGGTTAGATCAGAATCGCCTTCATAATCATTGGTCTGTACAGAGAATTAAGTCAAAACCACAAATCCAAATCCCCATCCATGGCTTAGGAAAGGGCCAATTTAGCAAGCTAGCTACTGCAGGACATCAACACAAGCTGACCAGAAACAGACCAGTTTTTCTGAAAATGATGTTTGGCTTAGGATGTGATTTGATTGGTCTGAAGCCAAATCCAAACTGGCCTCCCTTAGGCGGCGTTTTGCTGCACAAGGACAACCCACAGTTGAGCTCAGCTTAATGCTGATTGGCTAATTATTTTGTATTTATTTTTATCAAGGGATGCCCAATTCTTGCTGGCATCAATCAATCAAATGCTACGGCGGCAACATGTTATACTCTGGATAGTAAACTGTCATGGTCAAAACATATTGATACAACAGTAGCTAAGATGGGGAGAAGTCTGTCCATAATAAAGCGCTGCTCTGCCTTCTTAACAGCACTATCAACAAGGCAGGTCCTACAGGTCCTAGTGTTGTCACACCTGGACTACTGTTCAGTCGTGTGGTCAGGTGCCACAAAGAAGAACTTAGGAAAATTGCAATTGGCTCAGGGCAGCACGGCTGGCCCTTGGATGTATACAGAGAGCTAACTTTAATAATATGCACGTCAACCTCTTCTGGCTCAAAGTGGAGGAGAGATTGACTTCATCTCTACATGTATGTGAGAGGTATTGACATGTTGAATGCACCGAGCTGTCTGTTCGAACTACTGGCACACAGCTCAGACACCCATGCATACCCCACAAGACATGCCATCAGAGGTCTCTGTGAAGCAACACAAACATAGGCACAGGGCTCCCGAGTGGCGCAGCGGTCTAAGGCACTGCATCTCAGTGATTGAGGCGTGACTACAGACCGCCTGGTTAGATTCCAGGCTGTATCACAACCGGCCGTGATTGGGAGTCCCATAGGACAGCGCACAATTGGCCCAGCGTCGTCCGGGTTTGGCCAGTGTAGGCCGTCATTGTAAATAAGAATTTGTTCTTAACTGCCATGCCTAGTTAAATAAAGGTAAAATAAATAAAAAAACAGACACATGCATACACGCACTATACACACACGTACACATGGATTTTGTGTTGTAGATATGTGATAGTGGAATAGGGGCCTGAGCGCACACACTTAGTGTGTTGTGAAATCTGTTATGAATGTATTGTAATGTTCAAATTGGTATAACTGCCTTAATTTTGCCTTGGCAGCAGCTAATGGGGATCCATAATAAATACAAATACACATTTCAAGTAACTAGCTGCAGGCTTAAATAAACAATCAATCATATAATTTGCATATAGACACAAATAAAAACATGTAGATAGAAAGATGTGTGTGTCATGTCTGCTAGAATGGAGGTTTAAAAACGACAGCTGCATATGCATATTAGCCAATACATTTTGGCATAGCCTACACATATAGCATACCTTGCAATACAATCTTCTCTAAAAACAGCTATACAATGTGCTCTGCAATAAGATAACCAGAGTTTGATTTCTAAACCAGTTCTCAAATAGCAGTAGTCCAATACCATGGTGTGCATACATAATGTTGGCTGCAATGGAATATAATGTTGGCATGTTGGCCTATCATCTAGCTCAGCAAACCCTGGCAATGTTGAATTGCAATTATAAACCCAGATTTTAGTCAGTAGCCTATGCCTATTGAAATAACAAGTCAATCTCGCAAATAGGCCATTTATAACGGTTTGTAGTCTTAACATCTGGCACATAATAACGGCACAATTGCAAGAAAATAGCCTAACATTTTTTGGCCATATACCACAAACCCCTGAGTTGCCTTATTGCTATTATAAACTGGTTACCAACGTAATTAGAACAGTAAAAAGTATGTTTTTGTCATTCCCTTGGTACACATCTGATATACCATGGCTTTCAACCAATCAGCATTCAGGGCTCAAACCACCCAGTTTATAATTGTAATTATAAACTGGGTGGTTCAAGCCCTGAATGCTGATTGGCTGACAGCCATGGTATATCAGACCGTATACAACGGGTAGGACAAAAACATACTTTTTACTGTTCTAATTTTGTTGGTAACCAGTTTATAATAGCAATAAGGCAACTCAGGGGTTTGTGGTATATGGCCAATATACCACAGCTAAGGGCTGTTCTTTGTGGTATATGGCCAATATACCACGACTAAGGGCTATGTCCTAAGAATTGCCCTTAGCCGTGGTATATTGGCTATATACCACACCTCCTCGGGCCCTATTGCTTAATCATAGCACTCAAAACAAGTTAAATCGACATCCATTGATAGAAAATGATCTGGAGATTTTAATAAGGTTATCTTTTCTCTTGCGACATTCTTAAACTCGCAAGAATTGTTATTTTGATGGAAAACCGAATTTTGCTTCTTAGCCTACGCCGTTAAAAATGACATCGATATTCCTTAATTTGCTCCATAACGTTATGGAAAAAGGATTTATTGGATAAATGTGGCAACTCTCTTGCTGCGAAAATTTTTTTGGGGCTAGTTTTCAGGCCTTGTGGGGGGGTTTTCAGAGGTCATTGGATTAGAAATGTTTAGCTATACCTGACAACCCTGGTCTCAATGTCTAAATAGTGACATCAGGGCTAGTTCAAACTTCAATAGGATGGCCCTCCTCACATGTGAGTTAATCAGCCCATGCTTGATGAATAGCACTTGGTTGATCTCTGGGAGCAGGTCACAGGAAAGCTGAATAGATCATGTCAGACAAAAGTGAGACAAGAATGAATAGAAGAAAAGATCACAGCAAAGGAATGTAGTTTGTTAGCTAGAAAATGAACATCCTGACAGTCTGAGGCTGGGTGCTCTGCAATCATCCACTCCAACTATTGACAGGGATAATGTGGCATTTCTTATTTGTCAGTACGAATAAAATTAGTGGGTCCTGCCATGATGACTGTATTAGCTTTACACTACTTGTCCTATAGATTTGTGTAGCTTTAAATTATTACTTGGAATAAACTGATAGCTAAACCACTCCTTGTCCCGGAATGACATGCTAGCTAGTGATAAAGCTATCTGCTCCTGCTAGCTAGATAGAGATCTCTCGAGCTGTAACCAGCTTTCTACTACTAAAGGTATGGATAACATGATTGGCAGACATGATCTTGCAGAGATAGTACCGTGGATATTACACTCAAAAACTATATTTTGCTATTTTTTTTTCATTCGTTTCATTTGATTGGTTTACAGTTTAGTACTCGGCTGCTTTTGCCTGTCCAGCTAGCGAAGATAAAAGCAGAGTTTGTCTTGATAAAAGTAAGTTATTTTGAAAATATTTGCAAGAATTGACATTGCCAACAAACTGAAATGTGTTCAGAAGCAGTAAATATACCCAATATGTAAAAACCAGCTCCTCCCTCGACAGCGATGGATGTTTGTACATCGTTGTATTTTACATTTGTGTGACTGTCCTTGTCTATCAGTGTTTTGTTACTTGTCATGTTTTGTGTTTTTTGTGGACCCCAGGAAGAGTAGCTGCTACTTCTGCAAAAGCTAATGGGGATCCAAATAAACAAATAAATATCGAAAACTAAAGCAGAACATGCTACAGCCCACCGCCTATAATTCTCAACCTGATTTCTGTAATACTGAAGGGGAGAGTGTGGTAAGTTGCGAAAAAATTTACATTCAGCATAACTCCGTCAAGGGAAACATAGTATTCTTTCTAACAAAGATATCTACACTGAACAAAAATATAAACGCAACATGTAAAGTGTTTAATAAGCTGAAGAAAAAAAATCTGAGTAGTATTTATTTCTGTAATAAAGCCCTTTTGTGGGGAAAAACTAAATCTGATTGGCTGGGCCTGGCTCCCAAGTGGGTGGGTCTATGCCTTCCAAGGCCCACCCATGGCTGCACCCCTGTCCAGTCATGTGAAATCCATAGATTAGGGCCTAATGAATTTATTTAAATTGACTGATTTCCTTATATGAACTAACTCAGTAAAATCGTTGAAATTGTTGCATGTTGCTTTTATATTTTTGTTCAGTATACATATATTTCAGGATGTTGTGTATACCTGGAAATAATCACAATTTATGCCAACATCACAGTTTTGAAAACATAGCTTGTCCAAAAGTGGTCTCTTGGCACAACTTACCCCCGGGTATGGGGTAAGTTGAGCGGCGGGACAGGGTAACTTAAGCAGGCTACAAATGTATGTGCATAATTCAATATTACTAATGCCTTTTTAAAAATGTCTATATCTTTATTTCCAACAGCTTTGTGCTTTTTTTCAAACACTTAACATAGGCCAGGCCCGGTTGTTACCTCATATCCAAGCGATAATGCCTTGCTTGCATTACGCCTGGGAAGAAAACACTTACATTTGCTCAACCATTAGCTCAACTTACCCCAAGCAAACATTTTGACTATATTAGCCCACACAGCTATACTGAACAAAAATATAAACACATGTAAAGTGTTGGTCCCATGTTTCATGAGCTGAAATATCATGCTGTTAGTGAGCATTTTATCCTTTGTCAAGATAATCCATCCATCTGACAGGTGTGGCATATCAAGAAGCTGATTAAACAGCATGATCATTACACAGATGCACCTTGTGCTGGGGACAATAATATGCCACTCTAGAATGTGCAGTTTTGTCACACAACGCCACAAGATGTCTCAAGTTTTGAGGGAGCATACAATTGGCATGCTGACTGTAGGAATGTCCACCAGAGCTGTTGCCAGAGAATTTAATGTTCATTTCTCTACTATAAGCCGCCTCCAATGTCGTTTTAGAGAATTTGGCAATACGTCCAACCGGCCTCACAACCGCTGACCACGTGTAACCACGCCATCCCAGGACCTCCACATCCGGCTTCTTCACCTGCGGGATCGTCTGAGGGGGAGAGGGGGGGTGCTAAGGAGTATTTCTGTCTGCAATAAAGCCCTTTTGTGAAGAAAAACTAATTCTGATTGGCTAGGCCTGGCTCCCCAGTGGGTGAGCCTTGCTCCCAAGTGGTGGGCCTTCCCAGGCCCACCCATGACTGCGCCCTGCCCAGTCATGTGAACTGTAACTCAGCAAAATCTTTGAAATTGTTGCATGTTGCGTTTATATTTTTGTTCAGTATACAGTAGGATGCACTTATTGAACCTCATATTGAAGCTTAGAGACCTCGTTTGATGTATAGAACAATCTTAAAATGATCTTCTTTTGTGTAGATACAAGCATGAAACCCCTAACACAATAAATTAATTTGACTTGGTAAAAATCATTTTTTTGGACCCAACATGCTTACCACTTTTTCCATGTGGTTTCTTTCTACACAGACTACATGAAATGATGACCCCTTCCTAAATATTTGGTCAAATGATACATTTTGTGTATGGTTTCCTAGAAACAAGCGTGGCTCAACTTACCCTTTTGGCTCAACTTACCCCACTCTCCCCTACTGCAGTTCTCTATGTATTTTTTTTCCTGTTTAATACACTTTTACCTTTACATAAAATTGCACATAATCCGTTGTATATTTATTGTTATAGTTACGGCTATCGCTCTAATGTTGGCAAAATGTTCTTGTAAGCACTGTCATCTTGTTGGATGAGAAAGAAACATGATATCAGGCTGTGAAAGTGGCCTTGGTGGAATAAGGGTAAAGGTGATTAGGTGAGAGGGCTTATGGGTAGTATGAAGTCTGGTCATACTGCTAAAGTTTCAGCATGGGATTCTTTTTTCCCCTTCAAATGAATGGCTAATTTGCCTGTAAGAAATGTCCCAGTATACATTTTCTTCTGAGCATTGAACATTGAGTTGTAACACTGGTGTCAGCAGTGCGATCCAGTGACCATGTGGTGCTTCTCTGACAGAAAGAGGGAGCACACTATCTAAACAGCGGGACATTAATGGCAAGTAGCAACACAAAGGTGACAACAGGGGACCTTACCTCTGTAAAATCCACGGTCTCCGCACACAAACTCTAGGTGGGCAACAAGTTCAGATCCACAGCGTGCTCTAGACTCTGCATGGTCTGGTAGAGCTGCAAGGCACAAGATGGAGTACAGCACACCGACGCTCCGCCAACATAGCACCTGAGAAAGAATACACTTTAATAATCAATATCTAGCACCACTCATCTGACTGAGCACAACTGTCTTGTCCAAGCTGCCACTACATTATTAACACCAGCACATTAACACATACAAAAATGTTAGGCTCTATTGAGTTGAAGATTCATTTGTTCAGCGTAGGCTTAATCATACATTTCCACAACAATTGGGGCAAACATGAGCAGTGTATCTGAACAGGTGGCATAAAACCTAAAAATAATTATTTATTTGCTGGTTATCAGAGTTTCACTGTAATAAAGATAAACAATTGGCAGTCAGTAATTATAGCTTATTATTTAGTTGATAAACAAGGAAACTCATCATCATAAATATTCAAGTAAGACAAAGACATTATTCAACCCAACGTAATTAAAGTAGGAGGAGAGCCTCCATGCACACTATCAAAACAGCTATTACAAACCAACGCATCGCAACAGTTTAAAAAAATCCTTATCAAGCCAAGAGCACATAGAGGTTACCCAGTATTAACCTTGATGCTTGTTTTAGTACAGCGAGTTACAAAATAATGATTCATAATTCAGCTAGAATAGAATTATGGATGATAGCAGCTTTGAGATACAATCACCTCCTCCCACGCTCTTTCTGTCACTCTGGCAAGGCTACTCTGCCCTCCCCTCTAGAAAGATAGCGTAGAAAGGAGGGTGCTCCATTTCTACTGAAGCCTACATAACACCTGTACAGTTCATTCACATGTGGATCTCAGGGACCCAAAAGTAGACAATATTGCATCTAATACTCTGATGCTTTACAACTGAGTGCATAATTGCACCTTTGAAACTAAGTTCTTCCTTGCAGAAAAAGCAGCAAATATGCATGTAGATTAGATATGGTATCATAATGAAGTGTATACATCGCTCATAGAAAGTACATTATTAAGAGTGACAAGAAGCACCTACTAATTTTGAGTTGCACTGATGTCAAAATTGTCCATGCAGGTAATTAGTGTAATACAACAACTGAATGAACCCACTGGGCAAATGAGGGTTGCAGTGCAGAACATAGAAATATATTATATTTCTATGGTGCAGTCTGCTGATAGGAATGTCATGAGCTGGAGGTGAAGGTCCTCCAGCTCATGACATTCAGACAAATACAAAACTTTGCAGCCTCAAAAGCACTGGGTAGATATTATTTCACTGCATCCCACACTGCCAAAGATGTGAACTTCCTGAACTGTGCATCCCTAAATTTGCCACCATGTAGGTGGACATTTAAATGCTATGCAGTGAAAATATCACATTTAGATTTCTACAGAGCCACATAACTGTGCATAAGCGCATGCATATGATACTGTTGTTTGTAAACTAAAAACTGTTTTCAATATCTGTGAAGAAAATACATTGATCACTAGGGACCAATAGCTTGATGCAACTTCTACTTTGGGCCGGTTTCCCGGACAGATTAGCCTAAATCTATTCCTGGACTAAAAAAGCATGCTAAATAGAATCTCTCCAAATCCAATCTCCTGAAACCTGGTAAAACTTCACAGTACAAATAAATGTCAATAACCACTGTTCCTGAATCAGTTAAATGTTCTCCTGGGTGACCGTACATACCTTCAGTGTGCATCCTCTGGCAGACGACCAGTGTAGTGAGGGCTCAGAGGAGTGCATCTTGTCTGTCGGTCTGTCTGTCTGTCCAGGCGTAGAGGCAGTAAGGCCTTGGAGCTGCAGTCTTATATTCACAACCAGAGAGGGGGAAGGACCTGGAGCTCAGCAGCTCCCTCCCTCCATTCTAGGCATCCTCCCTGGCCGAAAGAGAAAGGGTGCAATCTATTGGATCGTGTTCAAATCAAAAGCCTGAGTGTGTCTGTTAGTACTATCATGTCAACTCCCAGGCTCTCATTGTCATGCCAAACAAGAGCACAATCAGATCTGGGACCATGATAATTGAAAAGGTTTTGCAGGTTGTAAAATACTGTAGCCTAGGATGACCTCCAGTGCTTACAATGACTGTTACACTGTATAGGCCAAGGTAAGCCTTTACTTTTCACACTATGATTGATTAGAGAAATGTATAGGACACTAAGGGCTGGCTCTATTCAATTTGTAGTGCTGAAGATCCGCTTTATCCGCCTGTAAATGCAATGTTCCCATAGTCGCGGAGACTACATTCATGCTACATGGGAAATTACCTTCACATTTTAACACGGATCTTCTGTGATATGGATTGAATCCAGCCCGTGTCTTATTTTATTCTATTAGTTAATTGGCCAGTCCACACATCTGGGCCATGTTCAGTAGGAGAAAATGCTTTGAAACAAGGTACTATCTGAACTTGTCCATTAAGAAACAAGTTATATTTTCCCATTGCCAAACAGACCAGTTTGATTCAGTGGGCCCTACTGAACATGACCCTGATATCCCAGGTCTAGATTTGCTGATTAAAAGTCCAATAGAAGCGGCTGGCCTCAAGGGCCAAATTTGGTGTTACAAGAGAAAGAGATGGACTTACATTACATTGTATGTTCACCACTGCTATAATTTGAGGCGTGCCAGGTCCTCTTTTTTACTGTCAAACTGCGCATCTCAGAGGATTGTCACATATAAATGTGGGTCCTGAAAAGTTAGACACTTACAGGTGTTGGGAGACCGGATATTCTCCTTCACACAACGGCCCAAAAAATTACGACCTAGGACGCCCCCATTGACTGCTGTCATGACTTTCGACCCATGGCCCTTATGGGCAACCGTCCAAATTCGAAACTGACAACGCTGTACTGTACGTTCGTCATTACAGCACACTGTCTGGGAGGAAGAGTGAGCACATAGCACGTGTCATTTGGAAGATATGTTACTGGTGAATAAAATGCACATCTTGTGTGTGTGATACACAAAACAAAAAAAAGAACAAAATGATGCCTTCGTACAAACATTGGTTGCTTTATTACACAAGGTCGATGTTATGAGACTACACAAAACAAAGTGATTTGTCAGAACTCAAACTTCCCATTGACTAGTCTCTGACAGTAAGACTTTGCTGCCACAGGTGGTTGACCTGGGTGTTGCGCCTCCTGAAGGATTCCTCCAATTATAATGTAACAACTTGAGAGGAACTCATTTTCAGTACCTAGTAATAACTTATGTAGTATCATCTAACAAACATCTGTTGAAAATAAAAAATATTCAACCCTCAGTATAAATACTGTTCCAACTGGGGGGAATAGGATATAACTTGTACTTTTATCACGAGTGAATGACTTAAATTTACAAAATGTGAAAAAAATAACTTTATTAATTGTTTTTCTGAAGGGGGAAATTCAGACCCGAGTTACACGCACGTAAATTGAATTTATTCCCATTTTATGCACTTTTTTCTCTATGCGTATTCTGACCTTGAACTTGTGCATGGGAAAAGCCAGTGCCAGCTAAGGTACGCGTTTGGGTTGGAGATCAAAGAAATTGAGGTGTGGCGGAGTTGTGTCTACAGGTACGCTATATTCTGATCTTGACTTAATTCCAACACCTTTACACGCAAGAAAACTATGATGGTCGAGCAACCTGTCGATTTCAAGTGGGAAAACATAAATTATTTTTTCCCGATAGAAATAACACCAATCTCCATGCACTGTCATTTATAAATTGATAAGAGCTAGGTAAATGAGTAATCTGTTTGGATAAGGGGATTGTAAATATAGATTGTTTTAGATACATTTTACTTTATGATCGCTGGAGACAAATGTGAAACCAGTCATATTTCAGCAAACTTGTCAGGTATTGCGGCAGCTTTTCCACAGTGAAGTATAAATAGCAGTGGTGTTATTCAGAATTGTAATTGTAGGTCTATGGCTTCATAATTTGAGGGGCTGAAATTTGGCGATCCAAGCCGAGACTGTAGCCTATGGAAACCTGTGCGCACTGACAGTAGCTCCGAACCTACCGAGATGATTTATGCACTCTAGAATGTTTCAATTATATGCTCTGACTTTTTAGTTGTTTGTTTTGACCATTTCTATTGGATTAAATATTAGCCACCATCAGTAGCCACCGTCAGTAATACCCACAGACATAACTATCACTTTAGTTAGTTCTCTTTAAATGTGTAGCCTACACTTTCCATTACATCGTTAGTTTACCCGTCTTTTCCTCTGTCACGTCCTGTGGTTGATCCCGAGGGTCGCTAGCAATAGTGGATCATATTAGGCTAACATACATTGCATTCGGAAAGTTTTTAGACCCCTTCACTTTTTCCACATTTTGTTACGTTACAGCCTTATTATTTTCCTCATCTACACACAATTCCCCATAATGACAAAGCGAAAACAGGTTTAGACATTTTTGCAAATGTAATAAAAAAAATAAAAAAACGTAGGAATGGCTTTGGGACAAGTCTCAATGTCCTTGAGTGGCCCAGCCAGAGCCCGGACTTGAACCAGATCGAACGTCTCTGCAGAGACCTGACAATAGCTGTGCAAAGCTTGAGAGGATCTGCAGAGAAGAATGGTATAAACTCCCCAAATATAGGTGTGCCAAGCTTGTAGCGTCATACCCAAGAAGACTTGAAGCCGTAATCGCTGCCAAAGGTGCTTCAACAAAGTACGGAGTAAAGGGTTTGAATACTTATGTAAATGTGATATTTCCGTTGTTTTTTTTAAACCTGTTTTTGCTTTGTCATTATGGGGTATTGTGTGTAGATTGATAAGGAAACAAAACAATTTAATACATTTTAGAATATGGCTCTAAAGTAACAAAATGTGAAAAAAGTCAAGGGGTCTGAACACACGAATCTACTTTATTACAAGTTGTGCAATAATTTGGGACATGTAGTCTTTTTGAATCATTATGGAACGCAGACCATAAATACCAATTTAAACCTTGAGCCTGGCAACTGGACCATTGTCATCACAGCTCCGTGATCAGTGAGGATTAGGGTAGCTTCATAGGACTATTGTTTAACCCCTATTGTACCTTCTCACCTTCAAATATTTCATGGATTGAACAATTGAATATGGCAACTTTCAGAATGAATCAAACCACTACTTTTGATTCACCAATAGACATTGTGCATAAAGGCTCTCCAACCCTGTTTATGTATGATACATAAATACTTTCCTTACCTTAAATAATGTACAAGATCAGAGTATTTTTTAATCTACCAATTAGTGCTGAAAAGGAGACAAATATGCACGTATTTATATATTTCTTTCATTGATATCTATTTTGAACTCGTTCTCTCAATATATTCTAATGAGTATGTAGAGACATTTTGAATTAAAAGGTGCAAATCGCTCCGCCATTTCCTTGTTGCTAAAATTCGAATAGTTCGCCTAATTTCAGTTTGTGACAAAACAAGCAATGTATAGTGTAGACAATCATTGTACCATCTAAACCAGCTGTCAGCTGTTTGAATCTGGTGTACAAAACTGAAAGTAAAAAAGCAAAAACTCAACTTATGAAAGGGAAGCATAGAAAAAGCGCACATAGAACTGCTTCTTAGACTTACTTTCAATGAGAATGACAGATCTATAAATCACATGTCTATGTGAATTTGGTCTGGTCACCCAAAAAGTTACATATTGCAGCTATAAAGGTACACCGTAAATGAAAACTCAACAAGAAAATATGTTGGCCAGCAAGTGGGAGGGTTTTCAGTAGTTTAATTACATTTATTCAGTGAGCGCAAGGGAGCCACACCTGCGAAGCCCATCAATTCTGAATACCAACTACTGAGAAGTGTGTAAATCAAAACATGTAAAAAGTCTGAATCGGGCCCTAAAATAATAACTGCAACTCTAATAACTAATCTTCAAATTCGATAGCTGGGCAAGTTTGATCAAACAAACTCTGCTTTGGCATCAGATATAATCAAACGAAAAGTAAAAAGTCCTTCTGAATCTTCTAATAAAATAATACAATTTAGATTTCTGAATTATTTCTAAAGTGAAATATTTTAGCCCATCATAAGATGATGCATCACAGGCCTTGGAAGATAAGGAGCGGAGAAGTGTGTGGGTTTCTACAACAACAACAAAAACACTACCAGTTACAGAATGGATGTTCTAGCAGCGCTTAAAAATGAAAGTGTGTGGAATATTCGTCCATGGCATTCAACATCTGTGAGGGCCTTTAGAAATAATTGTATCCCACTTTGGAGACAGTCAACTTGGGGAGCGCAGGTTGTTGAGGGCAGCCTCCCTCTCTCTCAGTTTGGCCCTGATACGGTTGATCCTCTCCTCGCGGGCCGAATGCTCAAAGTCAAAGCCATGGTGCTGTTTGGGGGTGGGGGTGGGGGCAAGAGCGGGTATGATTGGGCACTCCACCGTCCAACTCTTAACACTGTCCCCCGTGAAGTCAACTTGCATAACCGTATCGCTGCTTTGGACTGCATTCAGGGCCTCTGGTGGAGGTGAGCTGTCACTCAAAGCATCAGCCGTATCAGAGAGAAGGTCTTCCACCTCAGACTCGTCCCCATTGGTGGCTTGGCCCTCTGCCCCACCCTCAACTCGTCGTCGTTTGACACTACCCAAATTGTGACATCCCTCTTCCTCAGGCTCCTCCTCCTTCTGAGCATCTTCATCTGTCTCACTAGTAATCCCACCTCTGCCCTGAAAGTCTTTGCTTGAGAAAGGGTGCTGATTTGCAGTCTTTGATAATGATTCTTGGGTCTCCTCATTCAAAGGCTTGTCTTCCTCTTGAGTGACCAATTCCATCTCCTGTTCAGGACATATGCCAGGTGTCTCCTTTAACAACCTGTTGGCATTCAATAACTTCCGTATGACTTGATCCTATGGTGGAAAAAATAAATAATAATAGGTAAAGACAGGTTTTACATTTTGACTAAGACCAGTTTTCCTGTTCTCTATGAGAGGAGATTTGAGAATTGTACATGTGTGTTAAAGGTCAACTCCCTGGAAACAGGGCTTTCTTTACTCCTTACTAACAGACTAAAAAAGCAACAAAAAAAGAGCTATATTTGAAGTCTGATAAGTGACGGACTACCTTTATGTGGGGACTATCATCAGCATATACAGTGAGGGAAAAAAGTATTTGATCCCCTGCTGATTTTGTACGGTTGCCCACTGACAAAGAAATTATCAGTCTATAATTTTAATGGTAGGTTTATTTGAACAGTGAGAGACAGAATAACAACAACAAAAATCCAGAAAAACGCATGTCAAAAAATGTTATAAATTGATTTGCATTTTAAATGAGGGAAATAAGTATTTGACCCCTCTGCAAAACATGACATAATACTTGGTGGCAAAACCCTTGTTGGCAATCACAGAGGTCAGACGTTTCTTGTAGTTGGCCACCAGGTTTGCACACATCTCAGGAGGGATTTGGTCCCACTCCTCTTTGCAGAACTTCTCCAAGTCATTAAGTTTTCGAGGCTGACGTTTGGCAACTCGAACCTTCAGCTCCCTCCACAGATTTTCTATGGGATTAAGGTCTGGTGACTGGCAAGGCCACTCCAGGACCTTAATGTACTTCTTCTTGAGCCATTCCTTTGTTGCCTTGGCCGTGTGTTTTGGGTCATTGTCATGCTGGAATACCCATCCACGACCCATTTTCAATGCCCTGGCTGAGGGAAGGAGGTTCTCACCCAAGATTTGACGGTAAATGGCCCTGTCCATCGTCCCTTTGATGCGGTGAAGTTGTCCTGTCCCCTTAGCAGAAAAACACCCCAAAAGCATAATGTTTCCACCTCCATGTTTGACGGTGGGGATGGTGTTCTTGGGGTCATAGGCAGCATTCCTCCTCCTCCAAACACTGTGGTCTCATCTGACCACAACACTTTCACCCAGTTCTCCTCTGAATCATTCAGATGTTCATTGGCAAACTTCAGACGGGCATGTATACAGTGGGGGAAAAAAGTATTTAGTCAGCCACCAATTGTGCAAGTTCTCCCACTTAAAAAGATGAGAGAGGCCTGTAATTTTCATCATAGGTACACGTCAACTATGACAGACAAAATGAGATTTTTTTTCTCCAGAAAATCACATTGTAGGACTTTTAATGAATTTATTTGCAAATTATGGTGGAAAATAAGTATTTGGTCAATAACAAAAGTTTCTCAATACTTTGTTATATAGCCTTTGTTGGCAAAGACACAGATCAAATGTTTTCTGTAAGTCTTCTACAAGGTTTTCACACACTGTTGCTGGTATTTTGTTTTGGGGCTGTCGCTGGGCAACACGGACTTTCAACTCCCTCCAAAGATTTTCTATGGGGTTGAGATCTGGAGACTGGCTAGGCCACTCCAGGACCTTGAAATGCTTCTTACGAAGCCACTCCTTCATTGCCCGGGCGGTGTGTTTGGGATCATTGTCATGCTGAAAGACCCAGCCACGTTTCATCTTCAATGCCCTTGCTGATGGAAGGAGGTTTTCACTCAAAATCTCACGATACATGGCCCCATTCATTCTTTCCTTTACACGGATCAGTCGTCCTGGTCCCTTTGCAGAAAAACAGCCCCAAAGCATGATGTTTCCACCCCCATGCTTCACAGTAGGTATGGTGTTCTTTGGATGCAACTCAGCATTCTTTGTCCTCCAAACACGACGAGTTGAGTTTTTACCAAAAAGTTATATTTTGGTTTCATCTGACCATATGACATTCTCCCAATCCTCTTCTGGATCATCCAAATGCACTCTAGCAAACTTCAGACGGGCCTGGACATGTACTGGCTTAAGCAGGGGGACATGTCTGGCACTGCAGGATTTGAGTCCCTGGCGGCGTAGTGTGTTACTGATGGTAGGCTTTGTTACTTTGGTCCCAGCTCTCTGCAGGTCATTCACTAGGTCCCCCCGTGTGGTTCTGGGATTTTTGCTCACCGTTCTTGTGATCATTTTGGCCCCACGGGGTGAGATCTTGCGTGGAGCCCCAGATCGAGGGATTATCAGTGGTCTTGTATGTCTTCCATTTCCTAATAATTGCTTCCACAGTTGATTTCTTCAAACCAAGCTGCTTACCTATTGCAGATTCAGTCTTCCCAGCCTGGTGCAGGTCTACAATTTTGTTTCTGGTGTCCTTTGACAGCTCTTTGGTCTTGGCCATAGTGGAGTTTGGAGTGTGACTGTTTGAGGTTGTGGACAGGTGTCTTTTATACTGATAACAAGTTCAAACAGGTGCCATTAATACAGGTAACGAGTGGAGGACAGAGGAGCCTCTTAAAGAAGAAGTTACAGGTCTGTGAGAGCCAGAAATCTTGCTTGTTTGTAGGTGACCAAATACTTATTTTCCACCATAATTTGCAAATAAATTCATTAAAAATCCTACAATGTGATTTTCTGGATTTTCTTTCTCAATTTGTCTGTCATAGTTGACGTGTACCTATGATGAAAATTACAGGCCTCTCTCATTTTTTTAAGTGGGAGAACTTGCACAATTGGTGGCTGACTAAATACTTTTTTTCCCCCCACTGGATGTGCTTTCTTGAGCAAGGGGACCTTGCGGGCGCTGCAGGATTTCAGTCCTTCACGGCGTAGTGTGTTACATTTTTACATTTAAGTCATTTAGCAGACGCTCTTATCCAGAGTAATTTACAGTTAGTGGATGCATACATGTATTTTTAATTTTTTTATACTGGCCCCCCGTGGTAGGCAAACCGACATCCCTGCCGGCCAAACCCTCCCCTTCCTTGGACGATGCTGGACCAATTGTGCGCCGCCCATGGGTCTCCCGGTCGCGGCCGGCTGCGACAGAGCCTGGACTCGAACCAGGATCTCTAGTGGCACAGCCAGCACTGCGATGCAGTGTTAGACACTTGTTACCAATTGTTTTCTTTGTGTTTCCCAGCTGCCTTGAGATCATTGACAAGATCCTCCAATGTAGTTCTGGGCTGATTCCTCACCATTCTCATGATCATTGCAACTCCACGAGGTGAGATCTTGCATGGAGCCCCAGGCCGAGGGAGATTGACAGTTATTTTGTGTTTCTTCCATTTGCGAATAATCGCACCAAACTGCTTGGCGATGGTCTTGTAGCCCATTCCAGCCTTGTATAGGTCTACAATCTTGTCCCTGACATCCTTGGAGAGCTCTTTGGTCTTGGCCATGGTGGAGAGTTTGGAATCTGATTGATTGATTGCTTCTGTGGACTGGTGTCTTTTATACAGGTAACAAACTGAAATTAGGAGCACTCCCTTTAAAGAGTGTGCTCCTAATCTCAGCTCATTACCTGTATAAAAAGACACCTGGGAGCCAGAAATCTTTCTGATTGAGAGGGGGTCAAATACTTATTTCCCTCATTAAAATGCAAATCAATTTATAAAAATGTTAACATGTGTTTTTCTGGATTTTGTTGTTGTTATTATGTCTCTCACTGTTCAAATAAACCTACCATTAAAATTATAGACTGATCATTTCTTTGTCAGTGGGCAAACGTACAAAATCAGCAGGGGATCAAATACTTTTTTCCCCTCACTGTATTCATCTCAAGCTAGCCTTCATTAACTACAGCACACATACCACAAGGTGGAAATGAGTTGTCAATTTTCTAATTATTTTTGGCAAGTTATAAGATATGTTTTTTGCTGATCAATTAACAATGCAGTGCCAAGGAGATTCATATCACATACACATCTGGTATTGGCATGCTATGGCACCGCTGAGACAATAGTACCCACTTGCTCTGTGTTATGAGCCTCTTCCGCTGAGTGACCCTGTTCGGCAGCCTGCTGTGGCTCAATGTCCCCTGGGGGTATTCTGGACAACTTCACCTGGACTTGGTTGGTCAGGCCAAACCTCTGCAGCAATTCCCACTTCCCCTGGGGCTTTTTGGGAGAAGGGTTGGGAGATGAGGGGCAGGACTGAGGAGGTAAGACAAGGGGGTGGGGAAGAGGTCAAAATACAGGAATTCAGCTTTCTGTGAAAATACAGTTGAAGTCAGAAGTTTACATACACCTTAGCAAAAACACATTAAAAAACTCAGTTTTTCAACATTCTTGACATTTAATCCTGGTAAAAATGTGAAATGTCAGAATAATAGTAGAGAGAATGATTTATTTCAGCTTTTATTTATTTCATCACATTCCCAGTGGGTCAGAAGTTTACATACACTCAATTAGTATTTGGTAGCATTGCCTTTAAATTGTTTAACTTGGGTCAAACGTTTCGGGTAGCCTTCCACAAGCTTCCCACAATAAGTTGGGTGACTGAGTAACTGAGTCTGGTTTGTAGGCCTCCTTGCTCGCACACGCATTTTCAGTTCTGCCCACAAATGTTCTATAGGATTGAGGTCAGGGCTTTGTGATGGCCACTCCAATACCTTGACTTTGTTGTCCTTAAGCCATTTGGCTACAACTTTGGAAGTATGCTTGGGGTCATTGTCCATTTGGAAGACCCATTTGCGACCAAGCTTTAACTTCCTGACTGATGTCTTGAGATGTTGCTTCAATATATACACATAATTTTCCTTCCTCATGATGCCATCTATTTTGTGAAGTGCACCAGTCCCTCCTGCAGCAAAGCACCCCCACAGCATGATGCTGCCACCCCCGTGCTTCACGGTTGGGATGGTGTTCTTCGGCTTGCAAGCACTCCCTTTTTCCTCCAAACATAACGATGGTCATTATTGCCAAACAATTCTATTTTTCCCCCCATCAGACCAGAGGACATTTCTCCAAAAAGTACGATCTTTGTCCCCATGTGCACTTGCAAACCGTAGTCTGGCTTTTTTATGGCGGTTTTGGAGCAGTGGCTTCTTCCTTGCTGAGCGGCCTTTCAGGTTATGTCGATATACGACTAGTTTTACTGTGGATATAGATACTTTTGTACCGGTTTCCTCCAGCATCTTCACAAGGTCCTTTGCTGTTGTTCTGGGATTGATTTGCACTTTTTGCACCAAAGTCCGTTCATCTCTAGGAGACAGAACACGTCTCCTTCCTGAGCGGTATGATGGCTGCATCGTCCCATGGTGTTTATACTTGCGTACTATTGTTTGTACAGATGAACGTGGTACCTTCAGGCTTTTGGAAATTGCTCCCAAGGATGAACCAGACTTGTGTAGGTCTACAATTTTTTTTCTCAGGTCTTGGCTGATTTCTTTTGATTTTCCCATGATGTCAAGCAAAGAGGCACTGAGTTTGAAGGTAGGCCTTGAAATACATCCACAGGTACACCTCCAATTGACTCAAATGATGTCAATCAGAAGCTTCTAAAGCCATTACATCATTTTCTGGAATGTTCTAAGCTGTTTAAAGGCACAGTCAACTTAGTGTATGTAAACTTCTGACCCACTGGAATTGTGATATAGTGAATTATAAGTGAAATAATCTGTCTGTAAACAATTGTTGGAAAAATTACTTGTGTCATGCACAAAGTAGATGTCCTAACCAACTTGCCAAAACTATAGTTTGTTAACAAGAAATGTGTGGAGTGGTTGAAAAACTAGTTTTAATGACACCAACTTAAGTGTATGGAAACTTCCAACTTCAACTGTATACACTTCATAGGGACGTCTTTGAATTATGCTTTAGAATAGTTTCAAGCAACTTGATCATGTTGATGTCACAAACAGTTTCAAGTCTCATATTTACATACATAAGCAGACATTTCTCAAGAGCATGGAGTACAGTCAGGAGGGGGCAACAGTAAGGATAGCAGGAGATGGCAGGGCCTTACCTTCTTCTGGCTCTTACTGGCAAGTGAGAGGAAGATCCGTTTTCGCTGTGTGGTCTGAGGGGCCAGGGAAGAAAATGAGTTGTTCAGGTCAGGGCCGTGCTGCCTCTTTCCTCTGACAGTCTTTGCTTTCTTGATTGACAGGAAGATCCTCCCCTGGTGGATGATGATGGCATCCTGGTGGGGGACAGGGGGCGGGCCATGGGGGAGGGGGGCGATCTGGGTGGCAGTACCCTGCTGGAAGTTCTGTCTGGAGGGCAGGAACTCCTTGAGGATCCTGAAGGCCGTGCAGCTGGAGGAGACGAATGGCATCAAGAAGGCACCCTGGGCTGCCTTGGGTTCTCTGGTCACCAGTGAGGTCAGGTTCATCTTGGCTGTGTCCACTGTGGGGTTGGCCGGTGAACAGCCTCTCTCTCGGATGACCACTGGAGAGATCCACGTGGCCGAAGGCGAGGACCTTCTTTTTGCACTGCCACCCTGAGAGAGGGGCACCCCCATCCTTCTCAAGATGGAGGTTGGCAGAGTCTGAATAGTGGTGATTTTTACCTCTGCCTCTTTGGGGATGTAGATCTCAAAGTTCTCCAGGATGTCTATGTCCCGCATCTTTCCACGTCTACAGCTGGCTGAAAGCTATAGCAAAGATGGTTTACACTTATGCTGCATGTAGTAGAACATTGCATACAGTTATTGGCAGTGCTCGACATGGACTGAAATAGGTGCAAATACACTGCTCAAAAAAATAAAGGGAACACTTAAAACAACACATCCTAGATCCTAGTCAATGTGCCCCCGCACATTGACTATGCAACGGTACCCCCCTGTATATATAGCCTCCCTACTGTCACTTTATTCTATTGTATATATAGCCTCCCTACTGTCACTTTATTTTTTACTTCTGCTCTTTTTTTCTCAACACTTTTTTGTTGTTGTTTTATTCTTACTTTTTTGTTTAAAATAAATGCACTGTTGGTTAAGGGCTGTAAGTAAGCATTTCACTGTAATGTCTGCACCTGTTGTATTCGGCGCATGTGACCAATAAAATTTGATTTGATTTGATTTGATTTGAATGAATGAAATAATCTTATTAAATACTTTTTTCTTTACATAGTTGAATGTGCTGACAACAAAATCACACAAAAATTATCAATGGAAATCAAATGTATCAACCCATGGAGGTCTGGATTTGGAGTCACCCTCAAAATTAAAGTGGAAAACCACACTACAGGCTGATCCAACTTTGATGTAATGTCCTTAAAACAAGTCAAAATGAGGATCAGTAGTGTGTGTGGCCTCCACGTGCCTGTATGACCTCCCTACAACGGCTGGGCATGCTCCTGATGAGGTGGCGGATGGTCTCCTGAGGGATCTCCTCCCAGACCTGGACTAAAGCATCCGCCAACTCCTGGACAGTCTGTGGTGCAACGTGGCGTTGGTGGATGGAGCGAGACATGATGTCCCAGATGTGCTCAATTGGATTCAGGTCTGGGGAACGGGTGGGCCAGTCCATAGCATCAATGCCTTCCTCTTGCAGGAACTGCTGACACACTCCAGCCACATGAGGTCTAGCATTGTCTTGCATTAGGAGGAACCCAGGGCCAACCGCATCAGCATATGGTCTCACAAGGGGTCTGAGGATCTCATCTCGGTACCTAATGGCAGTCAGGCTACCTCTGGCGAGCACATGGAGGGCTGTGCGGCCCCCCAAAGAAATGCCACCCCACACCATGACTGACCCACCGCCAAACCGGTCATGCTGGAGGATGTTGCAGGCAGCAGAACATTCTCCACGGCGTCTCCAGACTCTGTCACGTCTGTCACGTGCTCAGTATGAACCTGCTTTCATCTGTGAAGAGCACAGGGCGCCAGTGGCGAATTTGCCAATCTTGGTGTTCTCTGGCAAATGCCAAACGTCCTGCACGGTGTTGGGCTGTAAGCACAACCCCCACCTGTGGACGTCGGGCCCTCATACCACTCTCATGGAGTCTGTTTCTGACCGTTTGAGCAGACACATGCACATTTGTGGCCTGCTGGAGGTCATTTTGCAGGGCTCTGGCAGTGCTCCTCCTGCTCCTCCTTGCACAAGGCGGAGCTAGCGGTCCTGCTGCTGGGTTGTTGCCCTCCTACGGCCTCCTTCACGTCTCCTGATGTACTGGCCTGTCTCCTGGTAGCGCCTCCATGCACTGGACACTATGCTGACAGACACAGCAAACCTTCTTGCCACAGCTCACGTTGATGTGCCATCCTGGATGAGCTGCACTACCTGAGCCACTTGTGTGGGTTGTAGACTCCGTCTCATGCTACCACTAGAGTGAAAGCACCGCCAGCATTCAAAAGTGACCAAAACATCAGCCAGGAAGCATAGGAACTGAGAAGTGGTCTGTGGTCACCACCTGCAGAACCACTTCTTTATTGGGGGTGTCTTGCTAATTGCCTATAATTTCCACCTGTCTATTCCATTTGCACAACAGCATGTGAAATGTATTGTCAATCAGTGTTGCTTCCTAAGTGGACAGTTTGATTTCACAGAAGTGTGATTGACTTGGAGTTACATTGTGTTGTTTAAGTGTTCCCTTTATTTTTTTGAGCAGTGTACTATAACCAGTGGTAGCCATGTGAAAATGTAATGAATGGATTTGCTCCATTGTTTACGTTTTATGGTCCACTATTTGATGGTATGCATATTTCTGGCTAGTTCCTGAGATTTACTTTACCATTAAAGGTGCAACATGCAGAAATATCTCCTCCATTTCCTGGTTGCTAAAAGTTTGCCTAATTTCAGTATATCTGACAAAACAACCATTCATTGTACCATTAAACCGCTGTGAAATATATTTTCAATTACAAAAAATATTGTATTTTCAGCTGTTTGAAGTTGGTGTACAAATCCAAATGTAAAAGATGCAAAAACTACTGTTTTAGAAGAACAAGGACCTTCCCTTTCAAATCAGCAATAAATATATATTTTTTAAGAAACGGTTATACAATATTTTTTGAAATTGAAAATATATTTCACAGCGGTTTACAGGGTTAGTGTTCCTACACGGCCATATCTCCATGTTCCAGAGCTTGTTTACGGAAGACATTAGGTGTCCCCTGTGCTAATTAGCTATCTAGCATGCTCCAAACACCTGAATGTAAGCTTAACTCGGGAAGTTAAATATAAAAAAAAAGGTATGCACTCACTAACTGTAAGTCTCTCTGGATAAGAGCGTCTGCTAAATGACTAAAATGTAAATGTAAAGTGTAGTTTCGTCAGATGGAGGCACCTATGACTTTATGAATCTGTGAAAAACTGCTATAGTATTTTTTTTTTTTGAAGGATTCCTTCTCGCTGATGAAAGATAAGGGCCATATGTTTCGAAAGATGGATCACAACAATGATTATTGACGTTTGTTAAACGTTGAAACACAGCGTCGGGATTGTAGTTCACGAGGTAGTCGTGGGCGAAGCTAATGGCTGAAAACCGTAGGGAGAAGGCAGAATGCAGCCTAGAGTTTGAGAGCTACACTTACTGTAGCAGTTTTGCACAGATCCACATACTGTGTGCCTCCAGCTGACGAACTACACTTTCCCCCCAGGTATGCTTACACATAGGTTTAGGAGCACCAAAGATAACTAATTAGCACAGGTGGCTGCCTATGTCTTCCGTAAACAAGCGATGTAACATGGAGATATGGCCATGTGGTAACACTAACCCTATAACAAGGTGTGTAGTAAATGGAACCTTTTGTTTTTTGAAAATGATTTCTCGCTGATATGAAAAACACGTTCCTTATGTTTCCAAAAACGTACCAAAAGCGATGCGTGTTAATGTTTAGAGCAAGCATCAGGGCTCTTAACAAAAATACCCAGTCAGAAGATACTATCGTCAATAGGCGCTAAATTAGCGTAAATTAATATGCCGCCTTTACATACTAGTCGGAACTAGGAAACTCGGAAATGTCATTTGCTAACTGCTTGTAGTTATACACGTGCCAAGTTCAACCTTAGTTAAGTCAGACATTTCCGAGTTCCAATTAGCATGTGAACGCGGTATAAATGTGCACGAGTAAAAACGACCTGATGGTTGATATACTACAGCCAGCCCAGCTAGCTAGTTGACTCATTACGTGGCTAGCTAGCTATGCAAGCAATTAATCATGCGAAGCACACGCTAACTACAGTAGTTAGTTGACAATAAAATAGCCAGTAGGTTATAGGTTCTTATAGTTATCTAGGTTATTTTGTAAACTACATATTACCTGAGATAGCTTAGCGTGGACCCGATAAAAACAAATGAAATGGTTAGCTAAGCTGAAGTCTGGCAAAACTTTAAAAAACAACAACAAGAAATACCTAACCTGTTTCGAACAGCTATGACGTGGGCAAGAATAACGATGTACTTCTGGGTCACGGATTTTTGGAATCCTTCAGAAAAGAAGTCCCGTCCTGTGTGCTTTGTAAATGTATAATTAGGGCGAAAATTATGCATGTACACAATGAATGATATTATATGTATCGAACTGTATAAATGAAAATTGTTGCAAACAAACCTGTGTGAAACTAGCAACAGTAACAATTCCCTTCCGGGTCACGTTTTTGAGAGTCCTTCAAAAATAGTTACAAATTGTATGGCAAACTGTAGGCCTACAGTATATAAATTATCAGTGGCGTGTATTTATGGATGCCAGGGGAAGCCCTCAAAAAATAGCTTTTGTCTCTTGTTTCATAATGTTCCTTCAATTTGCAAGAGGCTGAATGATCTCACTGGAGAAAGCATCCGAGCGAGCGAAACAGCGCCCCTCTGTCTCAGTATGTGTAGCGAATTTATCTGATGCTGTCTTGTCAAAAAGAGTATGACATTGTTGCTGCCAGTAGCATTGAATACAAGGGAAGCCAGCAGAGAAGGGTGCAATTATGGCCTGCATTTCGGGGCGTTCTTGCATGTTGGCATTCCTGCATCTGCAGCAACCCCTCTTTATACTTCTATTGGTCAATTTTAAGTTAGGACAGGCGGGAGGCGGGGGTGATCCAGTACACTAGGTGGCGTTGATGCCGATTAAACCCAACAGAAGAAAGGGTGGGGGGTGACAACAGTTGGAAGCTAGCTAGCCATACATCGGTAGACGGTGTTCTTCACCCCTGCCTGTCGGGCACTGTTTTCCCGCAGTTTGGTTAACGATGGTGAGGGCAGGTGTTCGGCAGGGAGCGAAGGACACTGTGTACTAGCTTAGCCAGCTAGTCCTAAACTAAGGAGGACTCTGGTACACAACAGGAGGGAGGTGGTGGCGACGCCATGTGTTAGCGCGGCAGGTAGCTTAGTGGTTAAGAGCGTTGTGCCAGTAACCGAAAGGTCGCTGGTTCTAATCCCCGAGCCGACTAGGTTAAATCTGTCGATGTGCCCTTGAGCAAGGCATTTAACCCTAATTGCTCCTGTAAATCGCTCTGGATAAGAGCGTCTGCTAAATGACTAAAAATGTGAATGTGTCTCCAAAGATTTTTATAACTAACCCAAGAAATTAATCATAGTGGGCAGAACAAACAAGGAAGTGGGCAGAGCCAAGCATGCGCTAGCGAGATCCTATTGGTGCATTCTAGCATTTATTAGCATATTTCCATTAGG